AGATCCAAAGTACCGTTACGGGAAAACCCGGAAGCCAATCTAGTGGGTTCTGGGGCGTTTACAATAGCTTCAACTTTCTGTTGTGATAGATGCAATCCATGCTTATCCACTCTATGCCCAAGATAATCCACTTCTGACTCAAAAAGTTTACACTTGAAAAGGTTAACTTAAACACTGAACTTTGCCAACCTCTCAAGGACTACATACAAATTTTTCTGACATGATTCTAAACTATCACCTTTGACCAATATGTGTTCTAAATAACATACCACATAAATAACATACCACATTACTCAAATTAGTTAGTATTTTATCCATTATCAACTGAAACAGGCAGGGGGCACTAGTTATTCCGTATGTTAACCTAGTGAATTTGTATAAGCCAATATGAGTATTGATGGTTAAATACTCTTGACACTGCTGGTCAACCACTAACTGCTGATGAGCTCCGGATAAATCCAGAACACAAAAAATTTTACCACCTGACATGCATGACAATATATCATTGATATTTGGTAGTGGGTAATAGTCTGGCTTCAAGATCTTGTTTAAGCTAACGTTAAAATCTACACAAATGCGGATATATCCGTTCTTTTTTGCGACAACTACAATAGGGCTTGCCCAATTGCTTTGAATCACTGGAATTAAAATATTTGACTCCACCATGGACTTAATTTTCTTTTCTACCGACTCTCTCAAGGCATATGGCAAAGAGTATGGCTTATGAAAAATTGGAGTCATACTATCTCAACTCTAAGCTAAAACTATATTCTTTTATGCAGGAACTTTCCTCTTGGCTAAACATTGCAGGGAATTTAGACTTGACTTGTTCTCTTAGCTCAGACACATTTATTTCAGTTGCCACCAAACTATTTTGAGATAGAAGATTTTCGCGCCAATTAGAACATAACACAATCGAAACAAAATTGAGCCAATCTCATTTATCGCATCGAGAGCTTTTGACAAAACAAAAGCGAAGCGGTGCAAACACCAGGGGTTTCTATGCATCTTGAACCTTACGTAAAAGTGGGTCTTCCTGGAAATTAAAGTTGACATGTTTCACGATTTCTTTGCAGTCTCAAGTGACAGAAACATTGCGTCATCAGAAGATATCAATTCAACATCGATCCGAAGGAGAGCGCTCCGGTGCTACAGTGCAACGTGAACGGGATGAAGGGAAAGCAGAAGTTTCGCAATATGAAGAGAGACACGAAAAACACAAAAAGAAAAGAAACAGCCGAGTCTTGCTTTTTTCAAATCCATTTTTAGCTCTTCATGATTATCCGTCAAAGAATAAAAGTTTGAGTGTACAAAGAAGAAATACAGGGTTGTTTTAATGTAATGTGTTTTTGTAGCTCCGCATCCCAATGAATATATATTCTATTCTGCCTGATTAATCTACTCAACAATAATGGATTCTACACAATTGCATATGCAGATGACATAGTTATTTCGCAGACCGGCAAATTTGTGAACACACTGTGCGATAGAGCGCAGGATAGGCTCAAATTGATAGACACATGGTGTAGTAAGGAACACTCAGTGTCGAACAATCCCAAGAAGACTGAGATTGTGCTTTTCACCAGGAAAAGAAGCTTATCGGGCTTAAAACCTCCTGAAATCTTCAAAAGCAAACTAAACTTCTCTGAAGAGGTGAGTAATTTCGGAAAACACTGGGACACACATGGGATCTTTCACCGCGTGTGGTCACGTGGATCTACACTGCAATACAAGCAACGGCCATCCAAAAATTATATCAAATACAGCGACTGGCTTGTTTAAACATCACAGGAGCCATGACCCTTGGTTTGACCCGTTTGGACCAATACGTTAAGGAGGTTGCGTTAATGGCCATGTTACAATTGCGCACGGCTGGTGTAAACCTCGAAGTAGGAATGGGTCAATTGAGGCTTAGCCTATCGCGAGAAGCGCTTACTGCGCAACCTCTGCTACAGGATGTCAGTAGTACAATTAAATCCAGATTTGTGTTTAATAAACCCTACAAAACACAAACAAAACAGAACACAGAGTCAGATGCTACAAATGCAATAGGCATATATATAGACGGCTCAAAAACAAAAGAAGGCTCGGGATGTGGGGTTTACTCCAGATCACTAAGCCTAAGAATAAAGTGGGGAATGGGAAAAAATACCAGCGTGGTTCAAACAGAACTGGTTGGTATCCCAATCGCCACAAAAGAACCAGGAAAGGAATTTCTGACAAAAATTGATATTATGAAAATGTCTTATGCGAGTGTCCGGAGTGATCGTCAAGAAGAGGGTATGTGTTCGGCGAGTCTTGGCCTACACCTGCCGAAATAAAGGAGATGTGTCCTAGTGACAGGATGGACGATGACCTAGGAGGACAATTCCTCGGGAGGATGTATAATGGGTCACATGTGACCTAAGTTTTGTGGGCCTACACTCATCCTCTCTACTCTACAGATACATATACTGTGTCGTGGTATATACTGATCGATAGAGAATTTCGTACTCTATACATTGATGTTGCTACGAATTCATATTGAACCAATGCGCTGCCTAAACATCCCGAAAATTCAACTAGGCATTTGGCAATGATAGTGTTAATGAAAGCAATTTTCCAGTTGTTTGCGACAGTTCATTCCGGAGATTTTTGCCTCAAAGATGAGCCTCGAAGTAGTCGACTTACAGTAATCCAGGAAGATTTGAGGACCCCGCTGGAGACTAATTAATCACAAATGGTGAGTGGGATGGTAGAAGAACTTGGCGTCAGCACCCATGCGGTTTTCGATGGTTTGAAACGTATTAGAAAGGTCAAAAAGCTCTAAAAGTGGGAGCTCCACGATTTGAACAATCGACGTCACGAGGTCTGTTCTCTTCTGCTTTTGCTCAACCAACCAGATCAGATCGTCACGTGTGGTGAGAATTGGATCCTCTATGACAATAGGAGACGTTCAGGGCACCGATGAGCCAATCATGTACTTTGCAAATGGGAAACCCCACCAAAAATACTATGGTTACTGTACGATGGGCAGCGGCTGGTGTGATTCACTACAACTTTCTGCAAGCTGGCCAAACTATCACAACAGAGTCCCATTGTGAGGCAGCAGCCGGTACTGGTCAACAAAAGAGGTCCTATCCTGCTCCACGACACCACCCGTCCGCATGTTTTGCAAATCACCGTCCTTTAAACGAATTGAATTTCGGTGTTCTGCCTCACCCACCATTCCCCCCAGACCTCTCACCAACCGACTACCATTTTTTTAAAGCACCTCGATAACGTTCTCACTGGTAGAACTTTCGCCAATCAGAACCAGGCGAAAACGGCCTTCGTCAACTTGTGTAACGATGGCAAAAGTGCACTGATACAGCCTAAAGGAGATTCATAGAAACGGACAAAACTTAAACAATCCAATATTAACTGTATGAGGTGAAACCAATACTCTTGAACAAATTTATCAGCACAAAATATGTGAACATGGACATCACAATGACGCCACATGTGGGATGCTCTCCTCAGCGGTCAGTTGCAGTCGACTTAGATCGCTTAATGAGAAATAGCTTTCTGCATATGCAGAAGTTGCGAAAGTTTTCACTGCAACTCCAGACAGTGTCGTTTCGAACCGACATAGGTCAAATCAGTGATACCACGATAAACCACGAATGCATTGTTGGACAGCACTGTCCTTAAAGAAGAATATTCGGTGGAAGTAAGCGTGGGCAAATGGGCATCTCTCTTTACCATGGGATATGTTTTCATTATCTTCTATGAGCAAGGTTTGATGTGAAGGTGAAGGGCATATGTCTGTGTTTACTCATACTCACGAGTGTTCTTCGAGCAACAATGCATTGGTGATTCATAGCAGGTTGATACACATTAGTAAACCGATTAACTTATTTTTCGTTTTGCCGTAGTTTTGGTTTGACTCTAGGGCCACTTTGAAAATTAGAAGAGACCACTATAATACCTGATGATAATAGAAAACATCCCACTGAAAATACTAAATCTAGCACTCACTAATTTTACATACCAATAGTTGCTTTTCTGCTATCATATTTTGCTATATTGTAAGTCGTTCACATCAGCTTCATAAGTTATATTCATTCCTACTGTGAACAGAATAGGATCAAAATTCTGCTGGTCATTGAAACTATAATGAGAAATATCCAGATCACCTTAGCAAAGACACTGGAAAAAACGATCCATCAGATTTATTTCTAACATCTAATATCAATTATCAATATCATTTTCAACTTTGGTTTTGACCATTGTCACACTCCCTTTTCATTTCTTTGTGCAAATCTTCAACATAATATTTTAGAGTAGCAGCTTGAAAATTTGGAGCCTAACAGCCTTACAAGGAAAGCTGCTTATGTCAACAAAAATTTGTTTCAAAGACTTTCTAAAAAGCGAAAACTATCCAGTTCCTCAACCAACACCAAAGAAAAAATATATGTAAATGAGAACATTGACTACTGAAACTTGCACATCAACTGTATTTAAAGCTCAATGGAGAAAGTTCATTCTTGTTGATGTGAACATAAAAGTAACTCTCTAAGACTAAGGTCTGAACAAGGCTAAGTGCTAAGCAGCCATCTACGCGACACGGAAGGGAAAGTGTATTTTTGTGTCAGTCTGTTTATACAAATGTTGTCTATAAAAAATGGATAAAACTTGGATGTAAGTGTTAAATTTTTAGTAATATCGTTTCCCCATGCACTTTTGTGTTAAAAACCTTCAGGCATCAGAATGTTGTAACCTTAGTACCTCTTTAATCAATAGCTGGATAAGGAATATCACAGGTCCTGTTAATTCAAATCTGAATAGTTCTTCGTTTCTTTTCTTCTCTAACCCAGGACCACAGCATTACAAAATATATTCAATTGACACTGGGTCGAAGAAAAGAGAGGAAGCAAAAATGGTAAATCATATATACAAATGGATAAATATGTTGAGCTGATAATACGAGTATTAGTACTGTATACCAGAATTAGTACAAAAAAAAATTAAAAAGGCACCTATAATTGACAAGTTCGTCGTTTTGAGGATCTCTGGGAGGTCTCTTCATGATATCAGATTCAGCTTCTTCGTAAGCCAATGAAATAGCTGGCACCTAAGATCGTTTCGGAAAAATGGAAAAATTAAAAAAGAAGAAAATAAAAATGTGTCATCGTCGAGTTCGGTTTTCATACTGAGGAAAGTATAAGATATCTGTCACCAACACTGTCATCACACTGTTTAAGAAATAGACGGTACTGGAGCTCTTCCACAAATGATTATATTAATGAACTTCAGTAAATGAAAAGATTAACAATATCAGAATCAAATTTCCTAGGCCATATAATGAAAATTGACACAGATAACTCTTCCGAAACTCTTATTATCTCTATTTCATGTTCAATTACTGATATCTAAGCGAAAGCGGTTTTTTATGTCACATCACGAAAAAAACATTATAATGAAAACAAGAACTACTTTTATCTACTTCCTTGGATATTGAGGGGGCTCTCTAAAATAAGTAGTCAGGATCAATTATTCAGAAGTTGATTACAAAAATAATCAATAAAACCAGCTGCAGGGGAAAATACTGTATGTTTCTAAAACATAAGAGGTGAAGAGAAGAAACTGTTATGGAAGGTTAAATATTTTGGAGTGATACTATTGTGATTTGAAACCAATATCTGGAAAAGATTAGAAAGGCGGAGATATCCTTACTGATGGTGGTTAGACGTACTGGGGGCAGACATCATGACAAATATTCATGACATATTGATTTTATACTGGAATCGAGAAAATTTAGGAATACAGTAGAACCCCGTTTATCCGAGTCGTGTTCAACCGAGCTCCGGATTAACCGATGTTATGTACTGGGTGAGTCAAGCTTGGGATTCTGTGCGCACTTCCACTATTTGAAAATCTTGGTCAAAAGTTATTGACTCTCATGACAGTGAAGAAGATATTCCATTGAATGATTTGGCTTCTAAATTGAAAAGCCTTGAAGGTCCCGGTTCTGTCAATAAGACAGAGAAAATCATGGAAAAAGAAAAAAGTTTGTTTGAAGTAATGCGATCATTAGAGAGTTGCGAGAATGAGACAAGACAAGATGTTGTTGAATGGATTACAGCAGATAACATAGAAGAAGAACTAAGTATCGAAGAAATAACGGATGCCTTGCAGGAAACCGGAGAAGTCGATGACGATGACGAAGTGGTAGATGAAGAGCCTGCCACTAAGATATCCCATTAAGAAGGTTTTGCTGCTTTAGAAAAGGCTTTAATTTAGATTGAGCAGCAGCAACCAGAGGCAACACCTGATGATCTACTCCTTCTTAATATATGGCGGAACAGAAGTGAATAGATAGTTATTTTACTGTTTTGTAATGTACTTATCTACATTCCACATATCTAGGAACATTAATAATGTTTTATTGGGCGAATAATAAATGAATCCGGCGAGTTTTCGTTTATCCGAGATGGGTTCCCCCCCATTACCTCGGATAATCGGGGTTCTACTGTATTAGACGGGCTAAACCGCGTCTAATGTTTTCAGTTGTTTGGCTTCGACTATGGAGCTATTTTCAAGAAAGTATGATTACACTGAGGTCTCAGTTCACCTACTCCTCAGGTAGTAGTGACACGCTTTGAGGGTTTTGTGACTTGACGCCGGGGTCTCAATTTGAGTACTTCCCAGGTCTCGTCACTAGTCTCCGAAAAGGTCTCAAACTGCCTACTCCCAAGCTTCGCCTGTGGGTCAACAGGCTCTGGTCTGGTACTTATGTCCCTGGACGAGTGGAGGGTCGGACCGTTAGTGCTGCGAAGGTGGAGTTGGTAGTTCAACTGGAAACTGCAGTGTTGGTAGTTCTGGTGTACGGCGTGACAGTAACGAGGTAATCTTTGTGAATCATCTTGTTTATTGAGGCAGTTGGGATGTTTTTTCAATTGCAATAGCTTCACGGATTATCCTGGCCTGGCAGGAGATTTCGGTGGCAATGGTTTCGGTATTTTTGAGGCTTATTGTGTGGCCTGTTTCACGAAGGGTGAGGCTGGATCTTATTTACGCACAGCAAGATCATGCTATAGGCTCTATTGAAGACTGTTTTGTTGGTCTGGCCTATGTAAGTTCTGGAGCAGGTGGAACATGGTATTTCCCTGAGTGTTTGTAGAAAAGTGGAAATTTTATTGTTGGCTAAGAGTACTGTACTTCAATCGTGCCTTTTCAGAATTCGGCTCACATTGTCGCTAACTGCATGAATATAGGGAGGAAAATCTTTCGGGTGGTCTGTCTGCTCATCAGGCTGTTTGGCATGTGGGGTACAGATTTGCTGAAGTTGGATATATCTTTGGATTTGGGATTCGAGAAAGTCGTTTTGGTGAAGGGCGGATTTGAGTTTGCCTAATTTCACAGGTTTATCCAACTTACTGACATCCACAGTGATTCCAGTAGAGTCATCATTAAATGTAGGGGAAAACGTTGATGATATTACCGGAGTTTCTTCCCAACACCAAATCGTTATTTTTAACACCTCGACACGTGTTATTCCTCTTGAAGATGATGACTTGGTGATCGAAACACGTGTCGAGGTGTTGAATATAACGATTTTGTGTTGGGAAGAAACTCCAGTAACATCATTACTACACCAAAGGTTCTAAACAGTGTATCACAAGTAGGGAAAAACGTAATAAGCCCATGGTGCTGAAGTATTTTCCAGAGACTTAGAAGAAATTGACAAGTACGACTATTAAGATTCAAACCGCATATCTCGTTATGAAAAATACCATTTTCGAAAAAAAGTTTTCATTAAATATTCTAAATGCAATTTTCCAATAAATCGCATAAAAGTGTTGGTGACAGACAGATTACATTCAAAGATTAGCCTACCTATAGAGCTTAAACTGTCGAAGCTTAAAAGTAGAGAATAAGATTAAGATATAGAAAAATTAGCATAGAAACGAGATATTACAGAAAACGTACCTTTGACGTTTGCATTGATCCTTTTCAAATTTACGAAACGAAGTCAACTCTACTAATAGTGGAAGCAACGTGGAAAACGCATCATCGATTTTTCACAATTTCTTAATGAATTTTTCTTCATTTCAATCAATGCACGTTCCTCGTTCTACTACTACTAATTTCGAAAGTGATTTAGATATAAAACCGATCCAAAGTCAGTGCAAAATTCAACTCGAATTTTTCTTCAAATTCTACATGCCAGTCGAAATAGTATCAATTATTTTTCTGCTGTATTGGTTTATATACCTTTCGTTTACTAATTTATCCGACCATGGATCGCGTGGACGTCGTTTCATAATGTCCGATTCGGCTTTTTCGTAAGCAAGCGATATGGCCGGCACCTTTTTTTCGAAAACCAAATAATACATGTTTGAATCTGATGCCTTGCAATTATGTGTTGGGGAAAGAGAAACAACTGGTATGCCGTTGTTGGTACCTAGGGATCGCTAGTCTCGAAAAAAATCTTCGTGAGAGGAATATCAGAAAAAATTTAATTAATGGCTGATCCCTCGAACTGAGTCATGAAATTCATACACAACTCGTAATATTATCAAATTCTCATATGAGGTCATCGACAAAATAGATAATGGTTCAATTACAAAAGTAAGGAAGTAGCTTACATAATGAACATTGAGGTTCGAGAAACTGAGTCTTCCATAACAGGGAATTTTCCAAATGAGACCTTTATCGGCGTGTTTACTGTCAAACCTCTACATGACACTACTAGAAAACTACAGCGTATTTATTTTATATATATACTTCTACTCTGTTTTAAAAAAAATTTACTATTTTTTATGTGTATTAATATCTGTCTGGTACTGTGATATATCTGTCAGTTTTGAAAATTTGCAAAAAATTAGGTATAGCATCTGAATTTAAAAGAAATGAGTTGTTTCTCTGACAACTTTTTAACCTCAAACCAGCATACAATATTTATACTTCAATAGAAAATATCTGTATCACTTTTATGTTATCCGTCTCTTGGTTGCAAATTGGTTAGTTTCCCTATTTTCTGAGTTTATTAAAATGTCAGTTCAGACAATACAAAGTTTGTGAAGTAGTATGTTTTTCCTTATCGGTACCAAGAAACAAAAAAAATCCTTAGGTATTCAATACTGTTTTTTTGAACAGATTCCGATGAATGTACCAACAACATTTAGAGGTTAATTCAGATTTCCAGGCATTACATTGATTTTGCCCACTGGAATAGTAATTGGTACTGATGTGAAAATACACATGAGTGGTTCCTGATTATTTGTAATCACAATTATCTTGGGTTCATTAAGCACCAATTTTCAATCACCATTATCGGCGAAGTCAGGTTTCACAATTATCCAATGTGATATAAACTTTATGGTGTCTTTGTATGCTATCTTGTCATATTCTAAATTTGATTCGTCTCGAATCGACGATAAACAAAACGCATTGAAAAAACCTCAGAGAGGTCAACTTTAGGCATTATCATAATTATCGACAAATTATTTACTTGTTACAGACAGAAAGAATATTCATAAAATTTCAAAACAAGATAACAAATAATAGAGATGATGATTTAACAGTACAGTACACGTTCAACTCAAAATTTTCATTACTTTGATTTCAATATAATCTGGCTTAAATAGAGTTTTCTGTAAAAAAACGCATGCTTGGATATCCACCAAGTACTGATTTTGTTCACCAGTAATTATTATAATTCTTATGTATGAAATGAAAAGTATTTCTTAACATATTCATGTTTGAGGAAGACAGTTTTGGGTCCATTTTCGGAAAAAAGAATTGTTCCGATGTTGCTGCGATACGCGAATCGAAAAGTGGCATTTATAATGGACCTGGATGCCCACCATAGTCGCATCACATTTGATAAATTCTACCGCAGATGTAGACGTCAGGTTTAAAAATCTGCACACCAAACCTGATAAACCCCAAAACAGCGAATGATCTGACACCGGCCACGAAAGTCTATACACAATTATATTTTTTTATTTTTGGCAATATCCTTTGTGCGGTATTTGCATAGACCCGTTTGCAAATCCAATCTCTTGATTTATTCGTTTAATGTTTGGTTTTCTAATAAAGGCATATTTTTGCATCTCAGTTTTGTGTCTTTTTTTGAAAATAATTCTTCTATAACAATGAATGTAACAGCAGCCTATTAGATACTCATGTGATGACTATGACAGCAACGTCACATTTGTTTCTGATGGATCGATTCGGATTATTTATTTTATAGATGCTAGGTAATGGCAAAAAAAATAGGTTTTTAGTTTCTTCTGAAAAAACCTACTTTGATTATTATTCACAAGTATATTATATGGTAATGACACACCCTGTTCATTATGATAATTTCAATAACGCGAGCAAACTATTGCTGTAAAGGATGTTTTATATCACTATCATGTCCTCAATTTACAAAAAATACAGGAAGATCTAACCGACGATTGTTAACTACTTCACCTCTAGCATCCTTGGTGAATAAAATCCTTACAAAATCAAAAACAGGATTCGTCTCTTGAGACAGCTTCCTCATGGTACCAACAACTCGAACATCATAGAAAAACCGATAAAAAAAATTGCTTACCATGTCAGTTCCCAAATCGATACACAGAATGGTCACGGTACCCAGAGGCAAGGGGATGTCGCAAAGAATGAAAGCAAGGAAAGGTGAAATTTCGGGAATGTTGGATGTCAGAGTGTAGGCGATGGATTTCTTCAAGTTGTCGAAGATGAGTCGACCCTCCTCAACGCCGGTAACGATTGAAGCAAAGTTATCGTCGAGCAGGATCATGTCGGCGGCTTGTTTGGACACGTCGGAACCGGCTATACCCATGGCGACACCGATATCCGCTTTCTTCAATGCTGGGGAATCGTTCACTCCGTCACCTGGGGAGCAAGTTGAGATTTTACATTACCGGATGGAACAATTGTAATCTTATGTGTAAGATGGGATACTTCTACAGTGTGTAAAAGCCAAATTGAATAAATTCATTATTTCGGTTACGGTAAATATTTTAACAACATCCCAAAACAAGTCGAATTTAAATTATAATTTGCCATACTTCAACGAAAAAATGTTACCCCTACCTTCAACCACCTTCGAATACAGGTACAACCCCAATTTTTTTAAATGGGAAGTATAGGCTTGTGATTCAAAACTAATTGCAATATACTCAAAACTTATTTCATGTTGAGGTACTGATAATAATAAGAAAATAAGACAAAACCATAGTAATGTTTTGGTATCCTTTAAAAAACTGTAAAAAATTTCCGTGGCAACGTTAGTTTAAAACGCCTCGTCAACTTGTTTTGTATGTTACAACAATAGTTGTCAGTATTTTAATTCAAGTTTAAAGTTCGTTAACTTCAAGTCTGACAAATGGTTAGATTAACATAAAATAACAGTTTTACAAATGATTGGTTACGGAGATAAAAACCGAACACAACAGAAAGTAGCTTGCCTATTTCATGAGAAATTTCCTAATTTACCGCCCTTATCTCAAGGAACAATAAACAAAATAGAGAAACAGTTTCGCGAGCTTGGTGATGTGGGGCAGACAAAAAAACAGCTGCCAATGCAATAAGTAATGAACTCAAATTAGATGTGATGCTCGAGTTTGAGGAAAACCCACTTACATCGAGTAGACAGGCATCCACTACATTAAATGTTAGCCATACATCGATAGTAAACAAATTAAAAGAAAATAAAATACATCCTCATGAAATGATACCTACTCAGGAGCTCATGGAAGACGATTTTGGTAGAAGAGCTTATTTTTGTGAGCGAATGATGGACATGTTGGATAACAATATCATACGATTAGAAAACGTTATGTTTTCTGATGAGTGTACTTTATCTCTTAACGGTCATGTTAATCGGCAAAATTGCCGCTACTAGTCAACGGAAAATCCTCACTGGATGAGAGAAGAACACACACGCAATACCCTCAAAAGGTTAATGTTTGGGCAGGGATTATAGGAGATCATATCATTGGTCCCTTTCTCATTGAGGGCAACTTCAATGGCGATAATTATTTGGCACTACTTCAAAATGACGTCATTCCAAGTTTAGCAAATTTATATCCCGATCCAGGAAACCCGATATGGTTTCAGCAGAATGGAGCACCACCACATTATCAAGCTAATGTCCGGCAATATCTCCATGCAACATTTCCCAATCGGTGGATAGGGAGGCAAGGATCGATTGAATGGCCAGCGCGATCACCTGATCTTTCATCATTAGATTTCTTTTTATGGGGATATGTAAAGAGCAATGTGTACAAAACTAAACTTTCAGATTTGAATGACTTAAAAGAACGAATAACGCTTACGACTAGGTCGGTCACGCCTGATAAGTTAAATAATGTTAGAAGACAGTTTTATTTGGGATTAAGATGTTGCCAAGACGTTCGCGGTGAATATTTTGAACATCTAATTCGTTAACATCCATAGTTTTTTTTCGTATTCTACATTTCATTACGTTTTGCACAGATTTTAAGTGTATTTTATCGCATTTCGGCAACCACATGATTTTAATTTATTTTATCTTAATGGTTGCAATAAACTTGAAAGCGATAACATTTTTGAATGGAAGAATAATTTGAATATTATGGTATGGAGCATTATCGGTCACGACTATCAAATTCACAGGTAAATTTGGGTTAACTCTTCTTGTAACCCTTTACCATCATTTTCAGAATTAATTTCTTAATGATAATCCCCTGATGTTGGGCCTGATTTCAATATAAGCCGACAATTAGGTATAAAGCCCATGTTGTTCATGTCCACTATGAAGGTATGTTTCATCAAGAAACACAATTGGTCGCTGTTGGCTACGAAAATAATTGATTTTTGTAAAAACTTGATTCTCAATGCTCTAATGTCCATTTTCACTATTAAAATTTTTCTATCATTTTCATTTATTTTTTACCGTAATGCGACACCCTTCCGTCTTATGAAAGTCGTAAATAATCCGTCTAATATTGGAATATTCATACTCGAGAATATCAGTTACTGGTGCTCTTCTAGGCCGCTTCTTTAGGTGGTGAAAAATTTTACTTCTCGGTTATTTGCAGAAATCAATTGATCCCCTTCTTCAACCACTCTTTCAACGGTTCTTATTGAAATACCTAATACAAAATAAAGATTTGTGTTGAAATACTTATTTTTTAAATTTATCTAATATTCCCTAAAGCGAGAGATGTTTTATTTTTTTACATTTGATAACGTATCCAATTCACGTTCAACACTTTGAAAATAAATTGAACACTTTAAAAAAATATTTCACGTGCCTGACTCTTGATGACTGGTTTTTTGTTAAGCGATGACATTTTTTCATAAACAACACAAATTATTCAGACAATGTCAAACGCCAATAGCACTGGAGGACAAGTAATGATACGCCTCTGTACAGAGCATTAGTATGTCTTGCAAGAGCTGTAGTGGGGATTAAATTGAAAATGAGTTTGTGCACATGGAGGCGGGTTCTCCATCACGTTTGGCGCTTGCTGTGACTGACAGTAACTTTCACGTATCAGTTCAGAAGAAAATTGAAGGAAGCAACGAATCTGAAAAATGATTTTTAATATTCAGGCATTGAAAATGTCATCTCTATTATCGATAAATGTCACTGAAATTGACGTTCAATGCAAATCGGAGAAAAAAACATTTTAGGTAACAATTTGCCCTAATTTAACTGACTTTGCACGATAAAAAAAACCATTTTTTTATCAGGCATCGGTTGAATTCATCGAAGAAACTAACGTGATAACTTATTTTTCCAAATCAGAACAGAAGCATTACAAATTTATAGATTTTTTGACAATCTTCAGTTATTTTTTCTTACAATTTTAGAAAGCAATTTGTCCGTCATTTTTATTTCACTATGACGTATTCATTATACTAAACTGCAATTACTATGTAGTTTCTGAAATAGGTTGAATATCCTGTAATTAAACTGAATTGAAGGAGTGCCTATTGCGCAATGGCACTAGACAAAACTACCTCGCCTATCAAATACTGCATTAACTGAACCTATTATTTGCGAAGAATGTTGTTGTGTAACTGAAATGCTGTTTTTGATTTATTTCAGCTAATAGCGATGATCAATTCATTTAGAAGTAACCGCTGAAAGGAATTATCATGTAATTGTCTGTTTTTCGATGAAATCTTTGAAATTTGAAGTGGTAGTAGAACTTCTGTTCGACAAGATGATGGATTATACACAGACATACTCAAATATCTAAAAACAATTAGATATTAAAAAGGCAATAGAAACCTGAAAGACTAAAATACTGAAATGAGTTTAAGAATGGTGAAGGGTGATCCTAGAACAAATCTCTTAGATGTAAAATAAGTTCAGAAACAATCAATTTCGGGTGGCACCTTCCGATACTACAAGAATATGGCCGACTGTGTTTAATTAGACGGAATCGTTCGGTTTTCCAATGTGGTTCGCTGTTTCAAATGCATTTTGGATCTTCTTCATTGGTAAACTAAATGGGTCGTTTAGAACGCGGCTTCCTAAAATTTTCTCCTAAATCTCCCCACCTTGAGGGCGTCAACCTTGGACAACTTAAGAGTTGGACTCTCTCACTCTTTCGTTACTTGTAAGGTGAGTGAGAAAGACTTTTTAAGCAAGTTCTCCTCTTTTCAGATCTCCTGTTTTGTTCGGGCAATGTATGTCCCATCCTTTCTATTCTCCCGAAATATTTTTGAGAATGTTCTTGATATTGTGAAGACTGAGTGCTCAACCAATAATTATTTTATTAATAATTCCCTCTTCCTATATGGATACCCAGTACTTTATTCCTTGTTTCAGTCGGTGAATAGTGTAAACAGTGACTTTCCAGTGGTTTTCTGTTTTCTAATTATTGTTAGTCCTCTTCACTTTCAATTGTAGAAACCACAATTCCTATTCAAACTTAGTATCCATTCATTCAGGTATTCCAAAGAGTATCCAGTTTTAAATCTACAATATTCCAAGCTAAAAATACATCACGCATGTTTCTGAAGCTGATACTAAAAACCACAGGATGCCTTTTTGCAATAGCTAAGCAGCTAAATGAAATACGAATTATTGCCATTCTTTTGAGAGAAAAAGAAGTGAAGAACTCTCTAGTATTACTATTACGATTTCACCATCAATGATTTACTAGGAAAATGTGTCCGCATAAGGATAAATCTTCGAAAAGTACAAAAGATCTAAATACCTCAGTATCTGTATTAGATCACAAAACACAATCCATAATCCATACCATCCTGTAAGGATCAAGCCACCTCTGGCGTAAAATGAATCTATTAAAAAACTTTCCCTCCACCAGAACAAACTGCTTTTCTTGAGGAACATCCAAAGATGTGACACACTTGTATCCACCAATTTGACGATGATACATTCTTACTTATTTAACAATATTCAATCTACAGTTATATATCCTAGAACCGTATCAATCATCACCTGAAAACAATTAATAAAAACGCCAAGAGAGCTAAAAATTGGTATATGGGTAAAAAATGAAAAAACAATCATCTTTTCTCCTTACCGATTTTCGAAATTTCGAACAATAACTGCTTTTCTGAACATTTTTTGGAAAAAATGTCAAATTTGACAGGAAAGAAAAATCACTTGATCGGTCATATACATGTCATTTGGCATCATTTTTAAAGCACAACCTAATGGAGATATCAGAAGTTGCTTGAAGAGATGAACAAAAAAAATCTCATTTGATGCGGACTTTATGTGTGACACTGTATATAAATTACATGTAACGTTGTTTGTCCGCGATGGACTCCTAAACTACTAAACCGATTTCAATCAAATTTTCACACCGTGTGCAGTTTGATCCAACTTGAAAGATAGGATAGCTTACATCTTAATTTATAGTCACAATATTATTTTATTGCAAAGTATTTGTCTTTTATTTGACATTCACAATTATCTGTTAACTCCAAACAATTTCAACAGATGACGATATCTGTGGACTGGATTGAGTAAGTAATCAATAGATGGCGCTGCTATGTTGAACCTACAAATGTGTCATACAAGCTACAACTCAATAGCTTAAGCACCACGTGTTGTTGGAGTTAAAGTATAAGTTAAATTGATTTTGTAGTAAACGAAATACCGTGAAATTCAATTGTTTTTACTTTTTAAATTGTTGGTGTTAGCATAGCCGGATACGTGTTACTTAGACTGAAGTGTAAATTAATATTATAATGAAGATAATACAGTGAAATTATTCCTGCTTTTTAATTAATCCATGTTTTTCTCATGGGCAACTATATGTTGCATGTTGACGTGTAGGGAAACCGTCGAATCTATTTGTGTTAGCTAAAGGCAGGTTCACCAAAAATATGGTGCACCGATTAGTGTGAATTGAATTAAAAGTATTTATAATTCAAAATAATAAATATTATTGTTAAAGATTCCAGACTATCTGCCCTACCTACCTCATTCATGAGTTTAAGTATCACATGTTATTTACTAACAACTTTGTAATAGGCTCATTTGTTACAAAATTGAATAAAAATAATAATAAATTTCAAAATTGATTCTTTTGTATTGATTTTTGCATAATATCAACTGTTCAAAAATTGTAATCAATCGTATTCATAGTCCTTCCCCTGATGACTGATGTTCTCCTACCGTTCCTCTCAAATAGTTTACTATAATGTAATATAACAAAAACCTTAGTCACAGCAACGCGTGGCCGGGTCTGCTAGTCTAATATATTTCTTAGTACTTTACTTCCTTCTTAAATTTTCAATTTGGTTTATCAATTTGAACTCCTCAATTCCGCATTTCTGTTGTGTGATATATATTCTTTGTTTCGAATCTATAGACCATTCAACAGAAATATTATCATCTACATTCAGAGCAAAGATATTACGAAAGTTCTAACTCCAAAAAAGTTGCTAAAGTCTAACTGAAGTACTACGTAAATCAGTCTCTTTAGCTCCGAAGAAATCAAATTGGTCCAAAATTTGAACTCACCTGTAACAGCGACAATGGCACCCATTCTTTGACAGCCCTCCACGATGATGAGTTTCTGTTGTGGCGAGGTCCTGGCGAATACAATCTCCGTGTGATATCTCAAAATCTCGTCGATCTGGTCGTAAGACAAATCTCTTAGATCGGATCCGTGAACAACGGCCGCTTTGGCTTCTCGCGGATTAACCTCCGACACCGGGATGTTCAAACGTTGAGCAATATCTTCAATGGTCTCGTTCCCTTCGGAAATGATACCGACCGACTTCGCGATGGCCTTGGCCGTGATCGGGTGATCCCCGGTGACCATGATGACCTTGATACCGGCACTTCTGCATTTCGCGACGGCGTCTGGAACAGCAGCACGAGGAGGGTCAATCATGGACATAAGACCTACAAAGCGTAGACCGTCTAGAGGGAAGTTGGGGTCGTCACTGTTGAACTTATAGCCGATAGGGTATTTGTCGGTAGGCAGCATCATATCGCAAAATCCGAGAACACGTTCTCCGAGACCTCCGAGTTCCAAGTAGGCGTTATTGAACGCTTCCTTCATCTCCTCGTCCAGCACCTTCTCTTTGCCGCAGAGGAAGATAGTGTTGCATCTCTCCAAGATCCGTTCAGGGGCTCCCTTCATCACCAAAATGTGACGTGGATCGTTGGGGTCTTCGTTTTCGTGAATCGACACTTGATACTTGTTGGTAGAGTTGAAGGGAACTTCGCATATCTTCTTGTTCTTCCGTCTTATCGACATCACGTCGCCCAAGGCCAGCTCCATACACTTCAGAAGGGCAGCTTCCGAGGCATCTCCGTTAACTTCGCGTTTTAGGATCGCTACGCCATCTTGACCTGGTTTGAACTCTGCCCTATTACACAATGTAGCGATACGCGACAAAGCTTTGAATCCGGGACTGGTCCTGTCGTACTGCACTCCGGATTGATCTTCAGTCGTGTCGGCCTCGATGATTTGGTTATCGAACCACATATGAGCTACGGTCATTCTGTTTTGAGTCAGTGTTCCAGTCTTGTCTGAGCAAATCGTGCTGGTCGATCCAAGAGTTTCGACGGCTTCCAAATTCTTCACCAAACAGTTCTTCGAAGCCATTCGCTTGGCCGTCAGGGTCAGGCATACCGTTACGGTGGCCAGCAGACCTTCCGGTACATTGGCGACGATGATTCCGATGAGGAAAATAACAGCGTCCAACCAGTGGTAACCAAGAATGAAAGCGATGATGAAAAATGTTACTCCTAAAAATACAGCTACGCCGGTAATGAGATGGATGAAGTGATGGATTTCTTTGGCGATGGGGGTCTCGCCAGTGTCCAGACCGGAAGCGAGACCGGCGATACGGCCCATCACAGTATTGTCTCCACAACTGATAACAACACCTTTGGCAGTGCCTTCAACTGCATTGGTCGAGAAAAAAGCTAAATTTTTGGTTTCTAATGGATTCTCGTGAGTAAATTCGGGACTTCGGCTTTGGGGTTCGGACTCGCCGGTCAGCGACGAGTTATCAACTTTGAAACCTCTAGATTCGATTATTCTAATATCAGCTGGAATTCTATCGCCAAATTTGACTTCGACGACGTCGCCTAATACCAGATCTTCAGCCCGCAGAGTCAGTTTTTCGCCCTCTCTGAGTACGGTAGCGAATTGAGGAACCATATTTTTGAAAGATTCCATAATTTTCGAACTCTTGCTTTCTTGATAATATGAAAATATACCTGAAAACAATATTTAGTTGGTTGAAGATATGGGAAAACAAAATTTCAGTAAACATTGAATGATAAACTCATCGCATCACCTACTGAAATAGTAAATATCAAATACTTGTTCGATGCACTCTGAAAACTCAAAGCGAATCTTGGGTGAATGCAACATAACAGAATTCGTATTTTTTTCATTCGTAGAAGATACTTGTTTCTTCACTCATTATTTGTTTTCTTAGGTTTTTTTTTGGATGGTCACGAAACAATATATGGGATTATAGAAGACGGCTTGTACTTTGATTTTCATTTGTGAGAGCAAAAAACTACCAAAAAAATTATCAAGCCTCCATTAAAACGTTAAGTTGTGTCGAGCATCCAAACCTACTTCTTCGATAATTATTCGATAATTAATATTTATGAAATAGTTTTCGCTTTCAGAGGGTGCAACTCAAACTTTTCTACGTAATTTACCTGTGACGATAACGACGGCAGTTAGAACGATGCCGAGATACAAATTATCATCATTAGGTTCTTCTACCGTACTAGCTACTATTCCGTAGGCTATGAAACAAAGGATTGCGCCGATCCACAGTAAAAGAGCGAAACCACCGAATAAGTTTTTACAAAATTTCACCCATTCGGGCGTTGTTTTGGGTGGCGTAAGGGCATTGGGTCCGTCCCTGTCCAAATTTTCTTTCGCTTTCGCGTGACTAAGGCCCTGCAAATAAAAACGAGGAATTAATTGTCGAAACATTACGTCTCGCCGCAAGATAATTACATTTTCTGGGTGTGTCTGGAACCTTTGATATAATTCTTCCGGTGAGATCTTGTGATAATCGATGTCCAATTCTTGTTTCAGATCATCTAAATCTTCAGCCTTTCTAACTTTCTTCACTTTCCTTCGAGACTGGAAAAGAATAAATGAGTTAGAACACTGCATTAACATTGAATTCATCAAATATACGTATATATTCATCATTAAAATCGGTCTCATCTAAAATAGTGGACGCTATTTTAGATGAGACGTGGTCGACAGGCAGAAAATTCACCTCAAGGAGGTGATTTAATCCTAGTCATAAATGGAATAATATTTCATTATAACAGTGGAATTAGTGATGGTTTCTACTGCTTAATCCTCGGAGACAGGTCCCATGTTGATGATTCTTCTAAAAAAATGTTTGTGTTTATTTACTGTTGAGCATTGAGTAAAGGATAGTTGTTCATGTATTTGTTACTTTATTATCGTGCTAGTTACTTTGTAATAACTGAAGGAAATCAGTTTAAACCTACATAATATATAAATTTATACATAACAAAAAACTACTTACAGTTATTGATCAGCTCATTAAACCTTCAGGTTCATTATTCATCAATTACTTGATTTGTTTTGAGATAAATGAATGGAATTAGTTCAAACCACATAAATTCATACATTTATTATGAGTAATTATTTGCTCTTGGGGTTCTTTAACTTTTTCTGGCATATTGTGAAATAAAAAGGACTAGCCCTTCTATTGAAACGAAACTTCTGTTTTGATCAAGAACCAACAATCCCAATAAATATTTCTGCCTAACATTCCAAACCGAAGGGTGAGAGACCCTTTTTTAATTAAAACTCAGGTAAATCAAATAACTTGATATCTAGATTTGGAATCTCTGGCGTGAATTACACTATTGAAGAAAACACTTTCGACTATTTAAAATATTATCAACTATATATTGTTAAATGGAATAGAAACCAATATCATAAAGCTAATGAAACTAATACTTTTTTCAAATCATTGCATTGAAACTGAATTGGGAATTTGATGCCAACTTTCTCAACAATGCAAAATCTGGCATTGGTTATTTTTGATCAAAGCCACAAGTTTTAAACTAGGATCATTTCAATATATGCCACTGAATATTTACTCGTTTATTTTTCAACAATGAATAATTTAAATAGTGAAATTTTAAACATATTTTGGGGTTCCTAACTTTAAAAGGTGTCAATGTGTTCCTGTTAATAAGCTTCCGTCATCATCCATTCGTATACTTGTCCTTAGTAGATTAGAAACTTGACATTTTGATAGAATACGTGTTACTGTTACTGTTACAATAAAAGGGTAGGTCGAACAGAATAATTCCTGAGGAGAATGGTGTTTTCAGTTTCTAATTTTATTACTCAATTTGTCTCATTCTGTCTAGTTCTTTTACTGCCTCAGGTGAAAAAACTATGTAACCCGCCATTTTACCCAACGATTTTATTATTTTTTTATCGGATCAATATCGTAGATTACTGAGGAGAATGGTGTGATGACTGCTACCTAAGACCTTCCGAAGTTTTTAGTTTCTAATTTTGTTACTCAATTCGTCTCATTCTGTTTAGTTATTCAACTGCCTCAGGTATTATGTAACAAGTAATCCGCCATTTTTCAGCTTCGGCCATCTTGAATTTGCAACTTTCTGAAAGTGTACTATTCTACTACTCAAGGCCGGTCATTTGATACCCATATCAATGTTGTTGTGAAAAAATTTGTAATCTGCCATTTTGTAGCTGCGGCCATCTTGAATTTGCATCTTTTTCGAAGTGTACTAATATTCTACTAGTCAAGCTCCGCCATTTGATACCCCTATTGAGGTAGTTGTAAAAACATTTGTGATCCGCCATTTTGTAGCTGCAGCCAACTTGAATTTGTATATTTCTCAAACGGTACTACTATTCTACTAGTCAAGCCCTGCCATTTGATACCCTTATTGAGGTAGTTGTAAAAAATTATGTAACCCGCCATGTTGAAGCTGAGGCTATCTTGGATTTACAATGATACCCAATTTATAGTATTGTATTGTCATCAAAACTAAATATGTGTACAGGAAGGGAGTCGAACTTCAATTTGACCCAAACAAGCAATCAAACAAACAGGGCAAGCTAAAAACAATCTGAAATTTATTAGGAATAGAGCGCTCTATAAATATTAAATACTACGCCACTGTTTCATATCGGATAGAGTAATTGCCCCATAAAGAATTCTATTCTGATACTATATTACCATGCAAGGAAATAATATCGATCTCATTCAGTCTCAATATTTAATCTAAAAATAGATGGAGTGACCTACTAGCCTACTAGGATTTATGGATAACATGCAATTCGTGCCGCTAAGTAGATCAAACTCTTGGAAATATAAAGGCTTCATTCCCACCTGAACTTAATTGCATTCCATATACCTTTCTGCAAAATAAACTGTTCACTTTTTCGAAACGATAATTAATTTGAAACAATGCAAGTCCGTTCCTGATAGAATTCAAAGGAGGACACTTATTGACAATTGGATAACCACCATATTTTTTTACGTAACAAAAAACAAATTATACTTTTCTTCATTTTTTTCATTTTTATGAAGCGGTTATTATGTTAATATTATTATTAAGAGTTATGGGACGGAATAAAAACTTATTTCTAGGACTTCATCTTGCATGAGTTCGTAAAACAACTTTAATGAGAAAAATTATAACAATCTGCAGATACATAAGGACCTACCTACTAAGATCAGGCTGTGGACGGAAGTCCCTATCAATATGTTATTCCTCCTCAGCGCTTCTCCTAAGTCTCTATTGTAGCAAAGCTGAGGCTTTTACAATAAGCAGCGGACTTACTCAGATTATAAATGAGCCAATCAGGATTCCTGACCGTGATGGAGAATATGCTTGGTCATCTGGATCTATACCTAACAACCAATCCAGAAATTTTCAGTCACCATAAGGCCTTCATTGGGACCTTCTGATCACAAACTCATTTCAGTGTTGACTGAATTACCGATGAATTTTGGGGAACAATCTGAGCCGTGCAAATTTTGGCATTACAGATCAGCTAAATGAAAGGATCCTCAAGACCATTTCCAAAATTTCCCCTGGCTAGATATTTGTTTCAGCTCTGAAGATCCATCAACTTGTGTTTCTGGAGTCACATAAGTTATTATATCATCCATGGATGCATATATTTCTTTTTCAAGGAAAGGACCTTCTAACGGCAAGGCAAACCTTCTTTCAACAAAAATTGCGAGCAAGCTGTCGCCTCCAAAAATCTCACCTACCGGCAGTGGCGCAAAAATCTCAGTGCCAAAAACCGAACTGGATCCTTCTGGTCAGTAGCTAAAGCTTTACAAAATCCAAAATTCCACAACTAATACAAGCGGATGGTTCAATTGCAACAACAGCCATAGAAAAAGCAAATCTACCAGCTGAATAATTTGCATCCCACTCCACAGTCGATTTTCTGGGAAAGGCGATCATCAATATGGCTTCGGAAACAAAGATCAACAGGCGACCTTCTATCGTATGTCACCCATATTCGGAATAACGCAATCCAGAAATATGAAGAATCAAGAGCTGTTCCGCTTGATAATTCAAAGGCCTTTGACCGTGTGTGGCATGAGGGTTTGCTGGCCAAACTTCGATGCTATGGCTTGTCGTTATCATTCAGCTCCCTGAAAGAACGTTCCCTGCAAGTGGCTGTCGATGGATATCTCTTGAATACTTTCACCATCAACGCTTGATGTTCCCCAGGAATACATATTATCTCCAACCCTCTTTTTATTGTATATCAACGACTTATTGGAAAAAATCAAGAATCCAATATATTGCTGACGACACCTCACTTGTCCCGTCATTCCATTTGGATTTCAGGACATCGACGGCGGATGCACATCGTCACCGGCAGCAGGAGGTTGCATATCTTAATGAGGATCTAGAAGTAAAATCGAATTGGGGTGAAAGTAATCAGGTTCAATCCAATGCCACAAAAGCCCAGGCATCGGCTTCTTCCAAGAAGATAAATGTCTCCGAACCGGATATAATGACAGGTCAGACAATTCCGCTTCCTGCTTCGATGAGTTTGTTGGGGGTTAAAATGGACACCAATATGACTTGGCACAATTATGTCGCTGGAATTGCAAAGGCTGCTTCCCAAAAGCTTGGAACACTGTTCCAAACCAGAAAACTATACACACCTCAGCAACTTTTGATGCTTCATAAAGCTCAGATCAGACCTTCTTTGGAGTATTGTCCTCATGTATGGAGCTCTGCCCCCAAACATACTCTGAAGTTGCTGGATTCCATCCAGAAAAGAGCCATTCGCCTGATTGAAGACGCGAACATCACGTGCAACCTTGATAGCCTAGAACATCGAAGAAAGTTCAGAGATTTGTCTCTCTTCTATAGATATTTTCACAGGAGGTGTGCAAGTGACTTGGCACATTGGATTCCACCAAGAGCGATGCATATCAGAAATACGCGACGGACTGTGGCTGCTCATCGTTTTGAGGTTCAACTCAGTACACCTCGAACTTCACTGTTTGAGAACTCTTTCATCTGAAGAACTGCGTTTATGTGGAATATACTTCCTTAGAACGTTTTTCCAATTGAATTTATTATCCAGCGATTCAATTACAATGTGAATCGCTACTTTCGCACAGGCACCGCTCTGAGAGCGCCTTGAGGATTTTCCTGCAAGGCTTGTGTTTTGTCATTAAAAAAAGAAGAAAACTCATCTTTATTAATGGTTCGAAATGAGGTTTTCTGAAATAAAATTCCGATACTAAGCTTTACAAATCTTTGATTTAAGACATTTTAGGTTATTATTTTTTTCTACTAACTGGACCATTATTATTTCAGTTTTTCATAGAAATCGTTCAAGTATTGTGGAACCACGTCCCATTTCGTCACTTTCTTTTGACATTTCTACTTTTCGAAATTGAATAATAACGAAAATGTCCGGAAAAATATGACAAATATGTACAAATTAGTACAGGACAAAAATTAATAAACAAATGAGATTGAAGCAAAAAAAATGCAGTTTAACGCAATACCGTTCCACAGAAGTGCTATTTGAATGAAAGGTAACAATAGTATTCTTACAGGTCTCTGCTCCATCGTCTCTAAATTTCAGTCACACTGAGTTGAGACTTCCTGTACTCCGTATGAAATCATACGAAAATAAATACATGAAAAAAAAACACTAACTTTAAGCCTTGCTGAGAGTATTAGACATGCTTGAGTCATATCTGAGCAACTATTTACTGTTCGTGTTTTTGTATACTATTTGATTCATTCGATATACAGGGGTATTCAAAACGTTTCTGTACATCGGGATCTCGTAAACGATAAAAGATAGAGTGTCGGTTAAAGTGTGGCAAAGTTACGTATTTTAGAGACCTATTCAATGATGTGGAAAAATCGAATATAGCTCTTTTGGTTCTGGAGATATACAGGAAAAAACAAAAAATCTCAAATTATTATTTTGCCTATATCTTCTTTATTCGCAAACATATTGTAAATCTATCCACATTTTGCTATTGGCACTTGATGTGAGCTATCAGAATATGTTCATGAATCTTTTATATAGGGTGTCATCTGACTTGGGCCACCCCCATCTTTGAATTTTTAAATACCGACCTGTACTCGTTGTTGTAGTTTTTGGATTATAGACGTTCACTTTATACATATACCCATTGTACCGTAGAGTTTTCAAAGAGTTTCTATTTTTCATTTTTAGGTACCTATTCATATTTTTTCATATTTCCATTGCTCTGAGCGTTTTCTACAATTAACTTCGAATAAGAAAACCTTTTAGAAACATATCTACAACAAAAATATATTATATGTGTTTTTATTAGCAGAAAAAGAAATGATAGCAATAATAACATCCGAAACGATCACTATAATTGTAATGAAAATTGAAATGAAGTAATTTATATACACAAAAAAATTAATGGCGCAATAAATGTTCGAATTGGAGTTCTTCCATTTCGAGAAATATAATGGGCCAATAAAATGGCCTGCAAGATCACCAGATCTTACTATTTTGGACTATTTTCTATGGGGGACATTGAAAAATAGGATTTACGCTGGCAGAGAGATAGAAAATAAGGAAGACTCCAGGTTGAGGATTTTGAATGATTTTGCAACAATGCCGCAAATAAGTGTTTTAAGGGCAATAAATAATATGAAAAACCGAGTTCAAAAATGTTTCGAAATGGATGGACTCCAATTTGAAACGTGACAATTTCTGTCGGTCGTTCAAATCGTGGGGCACATATTTTTCGAGCTCTTTAACCTTTCCAATACGTTTTAAACCATCATAAACCGCATGGGTGCTGACGCCCAGTTCTTCCATCATCCCACGCACCTTTTGTGATGGATCTGTCTCCACCAGGGTTCTCAAATCCTCGTCCTGGATTTCTGTAGGTCGACCAATTTGGGGCTCATCTTCGAAGCTAAAATATCCGGAAAGAAATTTCGCAAAATGTATGGTTAATACGTCAGTAGCGCTTTGGTTCAAACATGACAATAAAAAAGGCAAAATTTTTTGAACAACCTCATATTTTTCAGATTTTGTATGAAATGGGATCTATAGTATTCCATTAATAAAAACTTTTAAACCTTATGTGGATGATACCAAAATGTTATTTCAGTTCTATTGGTCAGAATGAAATACAAAGGTGGAATTCAAAATATCGACTGTTAACTAGATGTAGATGCGATAACAATACAGAGATGAAAATATGTTTAAATGATGGATCTTAACCATCTTCTTTTTGTTCTTCAGATACGTCTATAGAGTTTGGAAAACTCGCTTGTGACGATTTTAATGAGCATTTGAAAATGGGAAAACTCCTGATTTAATGGAAAAAATAAAATAAATAAAAATAAATAAATACCTTTGCTCTGCCATCAGCTGTTTTGTTGTCATCATAATTGCTTGGAATTGTAGCTACACGATACGAATCTGAGCGGCCATGCTGCAAATAGAAGCAACTAACATTTACTAATATGTTGTGAATGGTATGTTTTGAATTTCTGATGCCGGACCATCTCTTCCATGACAATTGAAGAGAAAACCATGTGAAAGTATGACGAACATTAAAAAATCAAATAGGAACTGTCATAACATCATCTCATTTCTCTCATAGCAAAATTAAAGTGGATAATTTGAAATACATTAAATGTATATCATTAAATGCAAATAGTACAAATTTTGTACTATTGTCAATCGAGAGACCAAAGTCCCAAACTATTGTAGTTTTGCTATAATATCACACAGCGGCGTTGCGATCTACCATAAATTTCATCAGTGGTACTTGGCCAGATCATCTATGCAACTGTCATACTCAGTTTGTCCTAAGAAGAATCATCCTGGGTGAGGACGCCCCTTATAAACACGCCATCTATGGGATTAACATGAAACCCCTACCAGAAATACAGTACAACTAATGGACTGAGTCATGGCCGGTGGAAGAAATCGTACATACATACTTATTGTATTGAGGGAGGGGCTTCCCACCGGCCATGCAGCTGTAAAAGCTGCAGGAAGGCGATTTTGCTGGTTGAGTCTTTTGTCGATGGTGTCTTTGTAGGAAGAATTGTTGTTACCACTTCTCATTGTGGACACTTAACAACATTTTTCTCAATGCATTTGCATAATGAAGGTAATTGTTGCTCTTTTACATTGTTCCTTTGTTACTTTACCTTAAATAGAAAGAGATGAAGTTGTGAAAGAAATCTCACTACTTTCCACATGATATCCCCATTTTCAAAAGGATTTTGCTCAAGCGGCAAAAACAGAAATCAAAAGCAGAATTTCAAGCAGTTTTCCGTGAAATTTTTCAAAAAATATTTCGTGAAATTTTTTTATTTCATTTGGAAAACCACTCGAAATTATGAAGGGTGAATGAAACTAATTTCAGAATCATACGTTAAACATAAATCGAAAATACGTATTTTGGTTTATTAAAATGAAATTTAAAAAAACATTTCGTGTACAGGGTGTTGAGGGTAATATTGATGAATCTGATATTACTGAATGAAATTGCATTTGTGAAGCTTTCACAAATTCAACAAACGTAAAACGATGATAATGAAATGAATTGTTGTATAACAAATTTGATCAAAATACTTACTGAAATTACAATAATTCAGTTCATCAATATACACCCTCGTTCAATATCAAACGTTCCTCAAGTATCAAGGACCATGCAATAATTAAAACTAGATGAATTCTATGATAATGATAAAAATGAATCATTCATGGAATGGTGGAGACACATTCAACGTGCATTGACATTTCAAGCTGGAAGCAGTGTCAGAAATAATATTAAATGTTAACACTTCGAAAATTAACCTTATCTTCGTAAATCAAATGATGTTGAACACCTGATGTTACCTAACATATCATTCCTAGAAGAAACTGTAAAATTATTAAGAATGTCATACATCTCTCTTTTTTTATAAATTGCTGCTGGTGATTCACTACAAATGTACTTCACAGTATTCGAATGAATCAGGATCGATTTTCTAGAGCGTTTCCACTCAATCGTCATCAGATTATGGTAGAATCTAATTATGTGCATTACTCATATGTTTTAATTGTTTGTCATCCAGAATATAATAGTAAAAAGGTCAATTCGATACCATTCACCATTATCAAGTAATCGACTTCAAAACTGGGCGTCTGTGGATAGTGTGACGTCACGAGATATGTGCGAATGTCGATACAGGGTTTGTGCTATTATAAAGCGAAGCATTCAATGTTTGAGATTTGAGTGAAATTTTTTCAGTCCAGGAACGTTTTATTAAGACAGGCACAAGTAATTTATCACAAGTGGGGTCATTCATGGAATACTTCAATGTGAATAAGTTCTTAGTTTTTCATCAAACTCAATAATTGAAAGGATTTCTGATTATTCAAATGTATTTATTTTTTGAAGCAATGACAAAAGTAAAGCGATATATTTGAATATATTGGTAGGTTTAGGTAATGAAAAAAGTTTAGTCCTCAATATTCATTAATATGTTTAAGTGCGTTCATTTTATCAATACTTTTAAACAAATGTGACATATTTATATTAAAATGATCCTCAAAACAAAAATAAATTCATTTAAAGAACTCCTTTCCTCATACAGTGCATTTCTGTAATGACCCCCGCCTTTTATTTTTTAAACGGGTCAACTCAAAAAATTGAAATTTGGGATAATGAAATAAATGCATGAATACTTTATTCTGAAGTGGAATTGACAGATGAAACTTTCAAGATGGCGACTGGTCGCCATCTGGGAAAGAAAATTAAATGGGAAGCGGGTCTTGTGACACATATTTTTGAAGCTCCTGACAAATGCTGCACAACTCTAGAATATAAAGTCAATATCTTCAACTACTACAAAATGGCGGAACTTCAAATGATTGCCTGAATACATTGACATTTAACTACATAATATGAGGTAATAAGCTTGAGGTCAGTTCAGAAGATGCTCGAAATGGTTGCCTTGAACTTCTTGACATATGAACAGCCTATCCGATATTTCACGGCGAACATTTTTGAACACAGTAACGTCAATATCTCTACAAATATTTATTATTCTCTGCCGTATATCCAATATTGAAGCAGGTTCAGTTTCGTACACCTTTTGCTTCAAATAGCCCCATAAAAAAGTCCAAAGGTATCAAATCTGGCGAGTGCGCTGGCCATTCTGTAGGACCACGACGGCCAATCCAACGACCGTGAAAGGTAGTATCCAAATAGTTTCTTACTTGTCTGGAGGAATGTGGTGGTGGTCCATCTTGTTGGAATACAATATCCATATAGAATTCATTAGAATTCGCTTCAACGATTTCAGTGATGAGAAGGTCAATAGTTGTTTCCAGCATATTCGAATAAAGTTCCCTTGGTAAATTTTGATCAATATCAATATAAATTCTGGATATTGGGTATGTGTTTCCCGGAAAACGTGAGGGTTGGTGTCACTCCAATAACGGCAATTTTGTCTGTGACCATTGCCGTTTGAAAAAAATATTGTGGAGATTAGTAGGATGCCTTGCAATGGTTTCTGTCATGATTTCGCAGAATTATGTTCTTCGATCAGGGTCATCTCCAGTTAATTGGTGTATCATTTTAATTTTGTATGGATGATACTTATTCGCGACGGAATAAGTAGACTGTTCAGTATTTACTACTATCTCACTGATTATTTGCATTTGCTGTTCTTCCGGAATGGACGGATGACCTGAGGGCTTTTTGTTATATACACTACCAGTAGTTGTAAATTTGGATACAAGTTCCCTCAAATATTTTCTACAGATAGGACGATTCGGAAAACGTTCATTGAAAATATTTTCGGTCTCGTGAAAGTTACGCGTCGCTCCGTAAATAAAAATCGCTTCAATTTTTTCTTCCAATGGACGTGAATTGACTATTTTAGAAATTGTTGACGTGGTATCTTTCTACTTGTAAAACCGAAAACTAAATGAGAATATTCTAACTGAATAATGATGTTCATTGTCGTACTGACATTTTTTGTCGTTTTTATGAAAGACCTTGTCACGTGTATACGAACACTATATATACTGTGTATGTGTATACTGTATAATATCATGCATGAATATCTACGTATCTACCTACTATTTAGTACAATATGAATAATTTTGTCTCCGGTTCAAAAGATTTCCGATTTCGAATGATATTTTTTTTAAATCATATGAAATCGGGGATGTACCAATTCCGACGCGAAGAATGCGTTGATTCGATTATACGATCACTAGTTACTGTAATGTTTTTTGGCAATCCCATGTTCAAAGAAATGCAACACCCCACAGACACTAAGCGCTAAGTAATTTTTTAGGGAATTAATGGTTTTATTTTAGTTCTTCCTTCATTCCATAAATGGTAATTGATGGTTTCGTTACTTACAAACTAATGATAATTTCCGATAATTACATTACGGTGGAATGTTCCAGACATATAATTTGCAACACAACTATGCCTGGTTATAACTTTATTCAAATTATTACATTCGAAGAAACATTTTATTCCATTCATATTTTCATATTTTGTTCACCAGTTATACTGTGTAAACAGTGTTATGTATCAATAAGCGGACTATTTTTTATTTTACGCTACATTGTATGTTATTCACTAAATTTTTATTATTATCATATCAACTCCAAAAACTTTTATTCAGCTAAAGAAATGAATAACAGTCAGGAAATGATGCGATTTCAAATATTTTTAATTGCTTTATGTTGTCTTTTGATGTGATAATCTATTTCTAATTCAAATTTTGACAAAACTCAAAATTCGTATTTTTCTGTTTGAGGTCAGGTTAAGTCCAAAGTGAGTGGGTCCATTCGACCCTCCACCGCAACCCGCAAGGATTTATTGTGGCTCACACCTGTTCACACTTAACCAGCTTCTCAACGAAGCCGATTAGTTTGTATGGTGAGTGGTCTTTTAGGTTAGATGGTAAGAGTCCTACTCTGCCGAACTCTAAAAACCTGATTCGGTCCCCAGCGGGGCATGCACAAAGTATGTGCTCTGGTGTTTCATCATTTTCCAAACAGAGGCGACACACACTGTCTTCCGACAGTCCGAATCTCTGTATATGATGATTCAAATGACACTGACCTGTAAGAAGGCCTGTCAGACATCGTAGTTCACCCCTACTGTAGTCCAACAACTGTTTGGTATCAAGCTTCGAAGGGTGAATAAACGCCTTGGAGTGAGCCAATCCTGGAAGATTCTGCCAGAAGTCTGTAAATCTTCTTGCCAACCAGGTGTTCAATCTTTGTTTGGCAAAGCCTAAAGCGATGCCAATGGCAGGTTCTGGTCTGATGAAGCTGCTGGCAGCACCCTCCTTTGCAAGGGAGTCAGCAGACTCATTGCCTTCTAGGCTAGTATGGCCAGGAATCCAGACCAGAGACAAACTCTTCGCTTTCTGCCCGAGAATATTGTTATTGCCTTGTGTATGA